CCTGCAGGTATCAGCCAAACAAGCTCCCCACAAGAGATGCTCCTCATGCCATCCTGTTACATTTTGCTTCATGAAGCATCTACTGTTTTACAGTAATTCTGGAGACTACATGGATCTCAGGAGCATCACAGCCAATTACACAGCCACTAGAGAACAGCAGCCACCTCTCCTCGTGGCAAGGACAAGGCTGGTGTTTTCCCATCAGCATCTGAAGGACACGCTCTTGTTATCACAACACATCCTCCCAGCCCCTGTGCAGACATTTGGGGTCACATCCTGCTGGAGTCTGACCTACACAAGCAAAGTTAAAGGCACATTTGCATGATGGGTCCCAGCCGGCCTCATGGCTCAGCAAGGCTTGCTGGAAGAGGGATAAAAGCCAGGAACCGGTTACAACCCCCAAGCCTGGCATCAGCCGGGATAATTCGGGATCTGGGAGCGTGCAGCTCCCCACTGCATGTTGTCTCAGTGACCCCACAGCTCACTGAGGAGGACAGTGTGGTCAGCGGTGCTGCAGCTCCAGCTCTCGGTCTCTCCCACTTCCATCCAAAAGCACTTGGAAGCACAAGCTGCAGCCAGGAGCTGCTGCTCCCACTTCTCCCCCAGTTCAACCCATCTCTTACTGGGAACACACAGCAATGTGCTTGCTATGGGAGGAATATCCTAGTGGGGTTCCTTCCCCCTGTGCTGGCGCAGGTTGACTTCCACCTGGAAGCTCATACCACAGCCCATAGGTGCTGGATAACAAAGGTGAATTCCAGCCCCTCTGAAGTCAAGGCCATCCCAGAGCCCAGGCTGCAGAGCACTTCGGGAAACCCCATCACGGCGTCAGCGTGCCCAGTGCTCAGCCTACAGGAGGGGCCCAGGGGCCCCTTGTTTCCTGATGGGATAAAGCCTGCTGCAGCTCCTGCAGGAAGTGTCCTGCAGGATAAAGGAGGGCTTGGGGAGAAGGACACAGAGAACAGGGTAAGTGGCACAAGTGGTGCCCTCCACAGGCACTCACAGGGATGCAGCCACGCTGAAGCGATGCCAAAACACCCCCCTGCTGAAGAGGAAGGTCAGTGGCTAAGAAAAGGAAGGGCACGCATCTGATCCCAACAGCAAACGCAGGGGGTTTGCCCAGCACAGGCTCCATCTGGTTTTCCCTGAAGCCGGCTGTTTGAGGCAGGAGCTCTGGTCTCAAACAGGGCTCACGGAAACAGAGCTGGTGCTTCAGTATGGGGTGTAAGAGACTGGGGACAGCACTACAGTGAGGTTAAACCCAAGGGGAACGTGCGGGATAGCTGCTCCTCCCTGGCTGACACAGGCACACACACCAGCCTTTGTGCAGGAGTCAAATACCTGCAGAGCCACAGCAGTGCCTGCGCTCCGCTCCTCCTGTGCCAGGCAAAGCAGGCTTACCTGGGAGCACGCAATGCCAAAGGAGATTCCAGCCACAATGCTCATCTTCGACTCCATCACTGACGTGACCAGGAAGAAACACCCCTGCCGAGGAGGGAAAGCAGGCACGTGGCTGCAGTGCTTATCACCACAGCACACACCAGCTCCCATTCTCCTGCCTGACCTTGTCAAAGTCTTTCCCCTATCAGTGAGCAGCTCCCAGCCCAGTTATCAAGGGGAGGGCTGCCCCTGGGCTGCTCCCAAGGGAACTGGGTTGAGCAAGGTGCTCCTGGTCCTTGCCTTGAAGCAGTGACTCATCGGAGGCACATCCCTTGCATCACCTGCAGGGTGAGGTCAGTGCTGCCTGCGCAGCACCGGGGCAGGCAGACGTCAGCAGTGCCCATACTTCACTGGGACATGACATTCTTATTCAGCTGCACACAAACACTTGCGTCTGGCTGGTCCCTGAGCTCCAAGGGAGGAGCGGAGGGGACATGAGGCACAAGGAAGGGCTCATTTCTCTGTACCATACCCCCACATCCCCCCTTGGGGAATTCCTGGGCTGCAGGGAGCAGTTCTTTCCAGCCTCATCAGGAAGGAGAAGCCCTTCTCCACCCACCCAGCCCTGCCCTGCCCACCTCCAGGGCACGCAGGGGGATTTGCTGAGCATCACTTACATCCACAAACACCTTCAGCTTGGCCTTGCCCAGGTCTTTCAGGTCCTCCTCTGAGCAGTCATCCTGGCTCCTGCAGCAGCTCTGGGGGATGCCTCTCTGGGTGAAGTATTCAGTTCTCCCCCAGTCCGAGTAGTTCTGCACCCCACAGCAGTGCAGCTGGAGGGGGAAGGACAGTCATCCATATCCCACCATCACCCCCATGCCCTTAGCTCCCCACAAACTGCCCCCATCTCACCCAGCATCTCCCAAACTCAAACCTCCCCGGTGCAGAACCATTCTCCCACCACCACTGTGGAGCACTCACGGTTCTCTGGATGGTGTCGACAGCCTTGCTGTGCTGATCTGCAGTCACGTTATAGTCCTTCAAGGCCACGTTGAGGTTACTCTCAAAGTTGGTCTTGATCTGCAAAAGAGAGGTCTCTGCGGTGCTGCCGTCCCCTGCCGTGCTCGGGGACCCGTGGCCCCATGTTAGTCACCTCTTGGTGATGGCAGGAATGAGTCTGGCCATGGCCAGCAGCCGTTCCCTGTCCCCAGGCAGGTGAAGGCTGTATTCAAGGGCAGGCTGGGGTGCTGTGTGTGTGTAATAACAAGGATGTGCGCGGTGCCGGCTCCCCCCAAGAGGCTGCTCCGCGGTGCAGGAAGCCTCAGAGGCCTTCATTTAATGAGTTAATTACAGAAATTACCGCAGAACATAGACCAAAGCCAGGAATTAAAGTCCAGGCTACTCAGCCTGCTCTGGTGGAGGGGCAGCGTGCACACAGCCTCTCCCCTATGGGGACTTTATGGGCCCCTCAGGACCAGGCTGGACACAGGGGCTTGGAGCACCCTGCTCCAGTGGAAGGGGTCCCTGCCCATGGCAGGGGTTGGAGCTGAAGGAGCTTTGAGGTCCCTTCTAACCCAAACCATTCCATGCTCCATGGTCTTACAGGGACCAAGCTGCTCTTTAGGCTGGTTTAAACCTATTTTAACTAAAGCAAGCACCGCTCCCACTGGTCCCTCCAGTGCCATCACTGTACCTGGGTTAACACCAGCACCAGACTCACCTCGTGCCTGAAGACAAACCCCACGACAGCGGCCACCAGGACAATGAGGAAAATGAGGGACAGGAGCATGGCATACTGCAGGCAGAAAGGACGGGGTGGGACGGGCCGGATGGGATGGGATGGGGTGCGACAGGACGGGGTTGCAATAGGGTACGATGGGAAGGGGCTGGGATGGGGTAGGATATGTCAGGGATGGGATGCAGTAGGGTGGGACAGGGTTGTGATGGGGTAAGATGGGATGTGGGTGGGATGCGGTAGAATGGGACGGGACTGGGATGGGGTAGGATGGGATGGGGCTGGGGTTGTGGTGGGGTACAATGGGACAGGGTTGTGATGGGGTAAGATGGGGCAGGACAGGGTAGGACAGGATGGGGTTGGGATGGAGTAGGACATGCCAAGGTCTGGATGAGGTAGGGAAGGACGGGGTTGTGATGGGGTAGAACAGGACGGGGCCGGGATGGGGTAGAATGGGATGGGTTGTGGTGGGGTAGGATGGGACAGGGTTGCGATGGGGTAAGATGGGACAGGGCTAGGGTTAGGGACAGGATGGGGTTGGGATGGGGTAGGATATGTCAAGGTTGGGATGAGATAGCCCGGGACAGGGTTGTGATGGGGTAGGACAGGACAGGGCTGGGATGGGGTAAAATGGAATGGGATTGGGATGGGGTAAAATGGAACGGGATTGGGATGGGTTGTGGTGGGGTAGGATGGGACAGGGTTGTGATGGGGTAGGATGGGATGTGGTGGTGGGGGGCTACAACAGGACAGGGTTGCGATGGGGTATGATGGGGTAGGATGGGACTGGGCTGTGGCGGGGTAGGACAGGACGGGGTTGCGATGGGGTGGGGTTGGGATTGCGAGGGGAAGGACGGATGGGACGGGGAAGGACGGGGCAGGGAGGTCGGGGACGTGCCGGGAGGGGTCAGGAGCGGGTGGGCTCCATCCACGCACCAGCTTGAGCATCCATGTGCTGCCGCGGCAGGTGGCGAAGCAGCCGAAGGTGCCCAGGAGCACCACGACGGTGCCGGCGCCCGCCAGCACGAAGGGGACGTTGGTGGCCTTCTCGTCCAGCAGCGAGAAGTACACGGCGAGGCTCACGCTGCCCCACACGCCCACCGCCAGCAGCACGATGCCCGACACCTGCGGGCACGGGGCACTGCTCGCCACTGTCGCGACAGGGCGGCGCGGGCGCGACAGGCGGCGGGGCCGGGATAGGCTCTCACCCAGAAGACGAAGGTGTAGGTGAGCAGGACGCTCTTGAGGCAGGTGATCACCGGCTTCGTCTGCAGCCGCCGCGACGGGGACGCCATGGCCGACACGGGCCGAACGCTGCCGCTCACGCTCCGCCCCGCTCCGCGCCGGAGCCGCCCGAGCGCTGCCGGAGCAGCCCGAGCGCTCACGGAAATGGCCGAGCGCGACCGAAGGCGTTGGAGCTGCTGCCTCTATGTGTCGCCCCCTGCAGGCTACACGCCGCCAGTGCATCACCTCCCGTGTGCCCTGTGTCACCCTCTGCTTGCCCACGCCACCCAGTCCTTGCTCTCCTGCCCTATACCACCCCCTGCCTGTCCTATGTCACCTCCTGTATCCCATGCCCCCACCCCCAGCACTGTCGATACACCCCTGCCCCACCATGGCCCCCGCTCCATCCCATATGTCCCCCTCAGCAGAGCAGGGACCAGTCTGGCAGCCACATGACACAGCCACCATAGGGCGGGCACCCCATCCCCTCCCCGGGGGTGTCCCCACACATGGCCTCTTACCCACCCCCCCCGCTGCCAGGCCAGCTGTGCTGTTAATTACTCTGCTGGCTGCCACATAATTAGTGCATTCAGGCAGAGCCCCCCCTCCCTCCGCTCCACGCCAGCTCTACCTGCCCATGCCAGGCTCATCCCTCGCCCGCCCTCATCACTATGCTCCAGACCCCAAACCCCTGCCTCCTCCCATTCAGCCCCATGGACTCGGGTCCTAAGGATCGTGCTTCATTACCTCTGCGCCGCGGGGCCGAACCTCAGCTGGAAAACAGCTCCCAGCTGGAAGCGTTTGCCTCCGGACCGCGTTCGGAGCCCGCAGCTGCAGCGGGGCTCTCCCTCCCTCCCGGCACAAAGGGTCCTGGATCCCAGGGGTTCATCCTTAGCATCCCAGAACCCCATTCCCGGAGCTTGGCACAGGCTCGGCTCTCCCCTGTGTTCAGATAGGCTCCTGGCTCTGCTTGCGAAGGGAAAGGATCCCACAACCTTCCAAAGCCAGGGGGAAGCCGGAGGTGCGTTGGAAAACGGGAGATCCTGGGACTTGTTATTTTTAACAACCCCATCGTTTTGGGCCTGACTCACGGGTTTTGAATGCTGGGGACGGGCAGCAGAGGGGAGAAGCAGGCTTGCTGAGCGCAGGCAGCAGGGCCGTGGTCCTGCCCCCAGCCCCGCACAGCCCCCAGCATGGCGCAGGATGCGGCCCCCGTCCTGCTGGTTGTCCTGGCCAGGCTGGTGTCATCCACGTGGCATGAAGGTGAGTGCTGGGCTCCATGGGGATGCAGCCGGGGGGGTCCTGCTGCCATCGGGGGGGATGGAGGGAGGGGGAGAGCAGCGGTGCCTGTGGGGTACGGGGCGCTGTGGGGGAGCAGAGCGGGTGCTGGGGGGCATCCAGAGAGGAGCAAAACCATCCCTCTGCATCGCGCCTGCAGCGTTCCCGCTGACCCCCTGCTCCCACGGGACACCGCATGCAGATGTTTGCTTGGATCAAGCACTCGGTCCCACAGCCGGGTCAGGGATCAACGCCTTTGTCCTGTTTGGGGGGGTTCCCCCTTCCCTGCTCCCATCCCATTCCCATCCCCTTGCCGTTATGCCAGCACCGCTGGCTCGGGATGCTCCTACCCAGTGTCCCCAGGTGAGAAGGAACAGAAGGGGAATGTCACAGTGAAATGGCACATCTGCCTGCAGGGATACAGTGCGATCCATCCATAGAGCCCTGGTGAGGGGCTTGATAGCCCCCCAGGAAGCATCCTTGCTTGGGGGGGGGCACTGACATCCATGGATGCCAATCCCGCTCCCCAGGGCAGCGTGGGAAGCACATTGGGATGAAAGGCTTGTGGGAACGAGTGGGCAACTCCATGGAGCTTGTGGGAAGCGGCAGGGAATTGCTCCGTAATAAAGTTCATGTCGGAAAGATTTGTAATGGAGTTTCCTCCCCGGGGCTGCTGCTGGGAATGGGCTCGGTGGATATCCCCTTCCTGAAGCCTGAGTAGGGTGAAGGGGAGTTGCAGCCACAGCAGGGGTGCTGCTTTACCGGGGCTCCCTTCGCTCCCAACCCATCGGGAGCAGGGAGCGCGGTGGGACGGGATGGGATGGGATGGGATGGGATGGATGATGGCGAGGAGGGGGCCAGCGGAAACACAGCGGAAACGTGAGCTCAGAGCTGGGGAATGCCGCGGCTGCCGCGGCGCCGATGGGGAGGACAAAGCCCTCAGCCCCTGCCTGCTGGTCCCTGGCCCATGTGGGGACAAGAGGATGGCAAAAGGCTGTCCTCCCGCTATCCATGGGTCCATGGGTGGTGTGGGGCCAGCCCTTCCGGGAACTTCACATTTCCTGATGGGAGCGGGGGGCTGCAGCATCCCTTGCCTTGGCCAGGGGCTCCGCTGGGATGAGAGGGCAACTCTGCTCCTTTGGGATGCTGTATTCCTTCGGGATGCTGGATGGTGCCACGGAGCGGGTGGAAGCACTTCCCAGCAGCGCAAAGCCAGGGGTCGGTGCCAGCCCGCTCTGTGCCAGCGCCTGTTTCCTGCCATAACCACGGCTCCTGCCACTGTTTAGTCTGCAGCCAGTGCCAGCACACACAGTGTCACTGGGGACTGGGCTCACTGTCTGCCAGGCTTAACCCTTGGTGCCAGCCCCAGGAGCAGCAGGACAGGGATGGGAATCTCTCATTGGGATGTTTCAGTGCCGGGGGGTGCGTGGAGCCATCATCACCTGGGTGCTGCTTCAACCACAAACCATCTCACAGCAGCCCCTTTATCTCTTTCCTCCTCCCCAGGGTCTGGTTACTACCCCTCCGAGAGCCACACCAACGAGGTGTACACAGAGGACGTGCCCCCAGAGCCTGCCCTGGACTACCACCGAGGTACCCCCACCCCAACCCATCCCTCGGGGCTCCCCATGGGCACACCGGCTCACCGTGGGGCCGGGTACCCCCCTCACTTGGCTCCTGCCCCGCAGTGCCGCAGTGGTGCGCCCCGCTCAGCATCCACCGCGGCGATGCCGCCTGCTTCTCTCCCCGCGGCGGCTCCTACCGCAGCAGCCTGGGTACCCGCTGCGAGCTGAGCTGTGCCCGCGGGTACCGGCTGGTGGGGCCCAGCGCCGTGCAGTGCCTGCCCAGCCGCCACTGGTCCGGGATGGCGTACTGCCGACGTGAGTGAGCCCCCCAGCCCCACTGCGAGCCCTGCCCTCGGGTACGGCCCGGGAGCCCCTTCCCTCCCTCCCTCCCTCCCCTGTTGGCTTTGCCCACGGCAGAGATCCGGTGCCATGTGCTGCCCGCGGTGCTGCGCGGCTCCTACGTGTGCTCGGCCGGGGTGCAGATGGATTCCCGCTGTGACTACTCCTGCCTGCCCGGGTATCAGCTGGAGGGGGACCGGAGCCGGGTCTGCATGGAGGACGGGCGCTGGAGCGGCAGCGAGCCGGTCTGTGTAGGTAAATTCTCCCCCTCTGTCCTCAGAGCGCCATGCATGCAAGGAGAGGTCACCTCCATCCCTGGGGTGCCGGCAGGTATCACCTCCACATCCCACCCAGGCATCGCTAGGTGCCAACTCCTGCATCTCGTGTCCTTGGGCACCCATCAGTGATGCTCCCAGAGATGCTGTTATTCCCAAAGCATGGGTAGCACAGAGCACATTGGTCCACGACTGAAGCATTCCACAGCAGGTCTTGCTGGCTCTGGGATGCTTGTGCTACGCATCCTGGAGCGCAGCACCCTGGGGTGTCCAAGCACCGGTACCCAGCTCTCACAGCCTTCCCAACTGCCTCTCCTCCCTATGGGCAGACATGGAGCCTCCCAAGATCCGCTGTCCGGATTCCCGGGAGCGCATAGCCGAGCCTGGCAAGCTGACTGCCACCGTCTACTGGGACCCCCCCCGTGTGAAGGACTCTGCGGATGGCATCATCAAGAGGTGAGGTGAAGATGCTCTCAGCATTGCTGGTAGGGCTATGGACCATGCTGGGTACCACTGATCTGGATGAAACCCTTCTGCTGGATGCAGGGTGATGCTGCGGGGCCCAGAGCCCGGCTCGGAATTCCCTGAAGGAGAGCACATCATCCGTTACACGGCCCATGACCAGGCCTACAACAGAGCCAGCTGCAAGTTCAGCATCCGTGTCCAAGGTGAAGCCACCCCCAGGCTCCTCACCCCATGGCTGGGACCGTGCCCCATCGCTCCCAGCCCTCACCAGCCTTCCCCTTCGCAGTGAGGCGCTGCCCTGTGCTGAAGCCCCCGCAGAACGGGCACCTCTCCTGCACCTCCGACGGCAACAACTATGGGGCTACCTGCGAGTACCAGTGCGAGGGGGGCTACGAGCGCATGGGGAGCTCCCTGCGGGTCTGCCAGTCCACACAGCAGTGGACGGGCTCCCAGCCCATCTGTGCACGTAGGTGTGGGGCAGGGTGAAGGGATGGGGAAGGGGCGATGGGGTAAAACCCTCCCCTCTCGCCCCAGCCATGCAGATCAACACGGATGTGAGCTCGGCCGCCAGCCTGCTGGACCAGTTCCATGAGAAGCGCCGTCTCCTCATCATCTCAGCCCCCGACCCCTCCAACCGCTACTACAAGATGCAGATGTCCATGCTGCAGGTGAGGAGACCCTTCCCACTGCCTCCCTTCCCACCTCCACCCCAGCATCCCATCAGCATCACCCCTCCCATCCACAGCAAACTGCCTGCGGGCTGGACCTACGTCACATCACCACTGTGGAGCTGGTGGGGCAGCCGCCGCACGAGGTGGGACGCATCCGGGAGCACCGGCTCTCCCCTGGCATCATCGAGGAGCTCAGGTGAGGGGGGACCATCCCTTACCTCGGTTGTGGACAAACCAACCCAGCTACAACCTCTTGTGCTGCAGTGTGGGGCACCCCCGTTAGGTCTGGATGCAGCATCCCCAGGCCTGAGGAAGCGATGGGAGCCAACACCCGCAGAGAACACAAGCGTTGTTGGACGGGGTGGGCAGGCTCAGCCCTCCATGCACCCCCCTCCAGCCTTAAGGCTCCCCTTGCACCCCTCAGGCAGTTCCTGCGCCTCACCCGCTCCCACTTCAACGCGGTGCTGCTGGACAAGGGGGGCATGGACCGGGAGCGCTACATCCGCCCCGTGAACCCCGATGAGCTCTTTGTGTTCATCGACACGTACCTGCTGAGCGAGAGGGAGGCGGCGCGGCGGGCGCAGAGCGGGGACCCCTGCGAGTGAGGCAGCGATGGGACCCCTCGGACACCTCCCTCCCTGCTTTCCTTGCCCACTGCAGAGGAGCTGCAGGGAAGGGGAGCCCCGTGCCCGCTGCTCTGGCACAGAGCAGGGATGGGGCCATGTGTGCAGGACCATGGTGGGAGACACTGGAGGGCCTCTGCTCAACGCCAGGGATGGGGAAACAGAGGGGACAGGCAGGGCAATAAACAGCCTCTAATAGAGCAGCTTCATCATCATCATCCTCACCCCATGCACAAGCTGAACCCGCTCCCTATGGCCCGGGTCAACCCTGCTGGGCATGGTCCTGCCATAAAGTCTGTATTCAAAGCTACAGCCCCACGCTCAGCACAGCCAGCAGCAGCCCAATGAGGGCTCAGCATCTCCCCCTGCCCCTTGCTTCCCCTTACCAGCCCCAGGCACCCTTCCTGGGAGCAGTTCTGGCAATAGAATTAACTTGAAATAAATGTATTTGTTATTAAAAGTCAGTGCTGGAGGAAGGTGTGTTGAGGACAGGCTTGGGAATGAATGCTTCATGGAGAGCATCATCCCCAGGTGACCCTGCATGGCTCCATCCTGGCCCTCTCCAACACCATCATCACCTCCAGCCAGGGCTGGGATGTGCAGGGCTGCCCCAGTCCTGCAAGCAGGCAGCAGGAGAAGGGTGGAGAAGGCAAGGAGGGAGCAGACTGTGAAACCCAGGGGGTGGGAGGAAGAATGAAAAGGACTAAAAACCCAACCACATCTCAAAGCGTTCTGCCTGCGGGGAAATAAAGGGAGGATCCACAAGGACTCCAGTTCAGCCTGAACGCTGGTGCAAAGCCTAAGACAAAAGGAACAAAGCTGGGCCAAGAAGACTTTCTGCCCGAGCCTGTTTAGAGAAGGTGATGTTTATTAAAGCCTAAGGGTAAACCAGAACAAGCCCCGTTTGGCAGCTCTGCTGGGCCATGCAGTGACTGTATTCCCCAGTCCCAGTGCCTACAGCTTCAGCTTGGCCATGGTGGAGCGGAGCTGAAGTGTCCCCTCTGCCCACGAGCCCGGGTACTGACACATCTTCTGCCAGAGGTTCAGCTCCTCGCCCGTGGAGTCCATCCAGTCCACAGCTTGCCCATTGCTCATGCCTGTGGGAAGGATGGATGTGGGCAGAAATCACTGCCCCTGCCTGCAGCGAGGCACTCCCAGGCAGGGCTGCTTGTGCCCATGGTTTGATGGACCCCAAGGCTTCTCATCCCCACGCTTTGATGGACCCCAGGGCTCCTCATTCCCTTGGTTTGATGGACCCCAGGGCTCCTCATCCCCATGGTTTGCTGGGACACAGTGCTTCTTATCCCCACGGTTTGATGGACCCCAGTACTTCTCATCTCCATGGTTTGATGAACCCCAGTACTTCTCATCTCCATGGTTTGATGGACCCCAGTACTTCTCATCTCCATGGTTTGATGGACCCCAGTGCTTCTCATCCCCATGCTTTGATGGACCCCAGTGCTCCCTGTCCCCATGGTTTGATGGGCCCCAGGGCTCCTCATCCCCATCGTTTGCTGGGACCTAGTGCTTCTCATCCCCATGGTTTGATGGACCCCAGGGCTTCTCATCCTCATGGTTTGATGGACCCCAGGGCTTCTCATCCTCATGGTTTGATGGACCCCAGGGCTTCTCATCCCCATGGTTTGATGGACCCCAGTGCTTCTCATCCCCGTGGTTTGATGGACCCCAGGGCTTCTCGTTCCCATGGTTTGATGGGACGCAGGGCTCCTTGTCCCCATGCTTTGATGGACCCCAGGGCTCCTCATCCCCATGGTTTGATGGGCCCCAGTACTTCTCATCCCCATGGTTTGATGGACCCCAGGGCTTCTCATCCCCATGGTTTGATGGGACCAGGGCTCCTCATCCCCATAGTTTGACGGACCCCAGAACTCCTTGTCCCCATGATTGATGGACCCCAGAACTCCTCACCATTGCCCACTCCAAGCCGGACACCGCCAAGGAAGTCATTGCTGGACAGTGGCTCCCGGTCCCAGACCGTCAGCTCCAGGCAGATGTGCTGCAGGTCCTCAGGGTTGATGCCGGTGTAGACGAAGGTGTGGTTGTAATGCGGGTTCAGGGTCTTCTTCACCACCGGCGTCTTCCTCTTGGAGGCTTTGGTCTTGTGCGGGAGGAGGTAGCTGGGGAAGCAGCCCCTTGGGTTTAGCAGCATGGCCTGAGCCCACCTTCCCTCACAGGGCTTGGGAACGGGGACCACTGCAAGGGGCTGGGGCTCTGCTCTGCCTCCTCTAAAGCTCCTCAGCAGACTGCAAGCAGTCTGAGGATGGGCAAGGGCAAGGACCAGAGGCTGCTCATCCCATCCCATCCCATCCCAGCTATGCTGCCTGGTGCCTGTGGTGGCAGCTGGAGCCCTGCCCTGCACACAGTGTCCCACCATCACCTCTCAACCAGCAGAACCCAGGGGATTTGGTACCAGGAGCACCTTCCCTCTGGGCAGCCAGCAGAGTCCCTGTCCTCCCCATGTCCCCACAGCAGTGCTAGGAAGTGCCCTGGGATGCAGCCGGGGAGCACAGCGCCCATCCAGGACCCACACTCACCCCTTGACAAAGCTGTCCGAGGTCCCCCCGGATTTGGCAGCCGTGAGGTTCCTGGCTTCTTTGATCCAGACCTGGAGCTCGCCCCCTTCCCCTGTTTTGCCTGGGGAAAGCCCACCACAGCACAACCAATCAACCCTCATCTCCACCACCTTTCTAGCAAGGTCTTGCCAAACACATTAGACTCGGGCACAGATCACAGCTACATCCATCCCTTACTGGTGAGGTGAGGGCAGACAACTGGTCCAGCCGCATGAAGGCACTGGGACCACTCGGCCAGCCTGAGGACAGCCAGGTGTGCCCCAACCCAGAGCATCATTGCAAGCACAGCAGAGGGGAAGGCTGCAGTGGCACCATGCAAGAAGCCCACCCAGACCCAGCTCTCACGGCCACAAGCAGATCCCACACACTACACATTGATCCACAGCACTCACCCTTCCTGCTGTGCCCAGCCACAGGGTGCTTGGGAGATGGGATGTACTTCATGGACACCACCAGCTCCCCCTTGTACTGGTGAAGACTGGCAGCATCCACCCCAATCTGCAAAGAGAAAGACTCAAACACTGCTGGTGGGTGAAGTGGGCATGGTGGTGGTCTGGCCTGCCTGCAGCACCCCCCCATGCTGTGCCAAAGGGGCTGGCCTCTCCTAGATGTGGTTTAGTTGGTACAAATGCCTATGGATCATCCGCAGCATCACCAGGTCTGACTTTGGGATCCTTCTTTGGCTCCATCACTTCCCTTAAGAAACCCTATTTAAGGGTTTCCACAAGCCTCAACAACACAAAACTGAGCCCACACTGAGTTAGTCCAGAGAAGCAGCCTCAAGCCCAGCAGCAGCATCTGCTGCCAGGGAGCTGCAGTAAGGCCATCCCCACTTTGCTCTGGAATCACAGCAGGATATCCAGGCCAATTTCCACCATTTGTTTCCCTGCATTGGCTCCAACTCCTCCCAGCTGGGGCAGAGCCAGGAAACAGCATGGAAATACTTGATGGAGCAGAGACAAGCTTCACAGCATCACACAGGGGACTTAGCGAGGAAAAGAAGGGGGGCTCTCTGCCCTTATTTACTATGGCAGCTTTGCTGCCTGCTGCTGGGGGCTTCACTTCCCCAAGGGTTTGCCTTGAAACAAGCCTTTGGCAGCTCCTGCATCCCCTGCATCCCGCATCCCCCGCATCCCGCATCCCCTGCATCCCGCATCCCCTGCATCCCGCATCCCCTGCATCCCGCATCCCCTGCATCCCGCATCCCCCGCATCCCGCATCCCCCGCATCCCGCATCCCCCGCATCCCGCATCCCCCGCATCCCGCATCCCCCGCATCCCGCATCGCCCGCATCCCGCATCGCCCGCATCCCGCATCCCCCGCATCCCGCATCCCCCGCATCCCGCATCCCCCGCATCCCGCATCCCCTGCATCCCGCATCCCCTGCATCCCGCATCCCCCGCATCCCCTGCATCCCACACCGCCCCGGGCAGAGGGATGCTGCGGGCACAGGGCAGCACCTTGCCGTGCAGGGGCAGGAACTCCTCCAGGTGCCTCTGGAAGTCCCAGGCGTGCAGCGGCACCTCCACCTCGCCCAGGAACGTGTTGCGGCCAAAGCGGTCGTGGTGCCAGACCGAGAACTGCAGCGTCCTCTCGGGCAGCAGGGACCGGTGGATCTCGTACTGGGGGGAGGCAGGAGAAGCCCCGTGAGCGGGCAGGGCGCACACATCAGGAGCAATGGGAGCACACAGGATGCTTGTCGTCCTTCCCAACCCCAAAGTGCTGGGGCAGTGGTGCAGGAGACCATGCTCTCCCCAGAGCCCATACAGAGGCAGGACCAGGGCATTCATGGCATCCAGCCATCCCACCCCATCCCACCACAAGCGGAGCTCTGCCAGGCCACTGAGCCTCAGGTGGTGAAACCTCAGCAAACACAGGGTGGTAGGAGCCTGGGAACCAAACTAATTCCCACTTTCCATCCCTGCCTCCCTAGGGATGCGCTGCCAGGCTCCAGCATGTAGCCAGCCAGTCCTATCACCTTATGGAGGCTGCAGTGGGGATGGTGAAGGGCAGCACCATGTGCCTCTGGGCTCAGAACCACCTTAGCTCTGCCCCAGCAGCCACGCTGCTTCCCTCCAACCACTGCAACCTGCCTGCAGTGTGTCCAGGAGCCTTGTCCATGGAAAGCAGTGCACAAGGCAAGCAGAACCGAGCGCTGGGGGATGCCACAGGGCCAGGAAGGCAGCCTGTGACCACATCCACATCTGCACCTCCACCCCACTGTGGCCCCAGGGCTTGACACCACAGCCCCATCAGAGGCCTGAGTGGGTCTTCCCAGCCTTCAGGGTGTTTGGATATGGGTCCTCTGCAGAGCCAATCCCGCCATGGTTTGGAGCGCATCCCTCCCCTGGTTGGTCCAGCAGCATCCCCAGGGCTGAAAGCCTGCATCCCAGCTATCCCCATCACCTTGAGCAGCTCATTGTACAGCGGGTTGATGGTGTTGCGTTTGATGGTTGTCTTGCGCTTCCCCTGCCGGGATTTGTCGGGCAGGAGGTAGGTCTTCACGTACCTGATGGGAGGAACAGCACCAAGGCCTCACCACAACTGACCCACTGAGCCTCCCAGGGCAACCCCAGAGCTCCTGCCCTGCCAAGACATCCCCCCCCAACCCAGCCATCACCCCATGGCTCTCACGGGTTGGAGCGCTTCTTGCCCTCGTCCCCATAGGCCAGCTGGCGGCACTCCTTCACGTGGATGAACAGGGTCTGTGTCTTCTGCTCGTAGCTCAAGGAGAAGGAGATCCCCCCCGTGACCGCGACGCTGCCGAAGTCCCCGGCCTCGCTGTAAATGCTGACCATGCTCCCCAGTGTGCTCTGGAAGACACGGCAGGGCTGAGCCAGTGCAGCATCGCTTATAGTCCCGCCTCATCCTCAGCAAGGCCTCTTCTGCACAGCCACGCTCATCCCCGTGATTGGGAATGGATGCTAAGTGCATCCCATTGCATGCAGTCTTCCATAGAAGAGAGCTAGGTCTCCTTGTTTTGATTCCCTTCAAGCCCCCATACCCACATCTCTTGTCCATGCAGCCCAGAGGCTGCCCATCCTGCCTTCATCCCACCCATTCCCCTTCTCCACCATCTCTTCCCACAGCAGAGCAGAGCATGGCCCCATGCCATGGGGACTCTGGAATAGGCTGCCAAGGGCAGTGGTACAATCACCATCCCTGGAAGTGTTCAAAACCACGTAGAAGAGGCCCTCAGTGACATGGGTTAGTGATGGCCTTGGGGTGATGTTTGGACTCTTTTCCAACCTGGTTGACTCTATGATTCCATGACTCACGGAGGAGGTGCCGCTGCGCAGGCTGCTCCGGGCCACCCTCTGCCGATGGATCTCCACCAGGTTATCGATGTCCTCCTCCTCCTCCTCCTGCAAGGAGATGGACCAGCCATGCATGGGGAGCATCAGCAGCCAGGCAGCCAGCTCCATGCCATGATGAGGGTCTCACCAGCTCCGTGTTGAGGCCTGGGACTGACTTGCTCCTGTCCCCCAAAGAGCCGCCTTCCCCCACGAAGTCCTCGGGGCGCAGGTCGATCACCGACTTGGTGTAGTCTGCACAAGGGATGGGGAGGAGGGAGGCAGTGGTGCAGGGCATGCACAGCCCTGATGCTCCCACCCGCACCAAAATCCCACCACCCCTGCCAGCACCCAAACCCCCCTGCACCACACACAGCGCTCACCCGCCGGCCTCACCACCCGACGCGGGTTCTTCTTGAACATCCTTTCGTGCTCCTCCAAGGCGCTGCTGCGGCTCCCCACGACAGCATCCTGCAGAGGACAGGTCCCATCAGAGCACGGCAGGGATGGGCATCCCATGGGGATCCCGGTCCCACAGCCAGGACAGAGTACGCACCCGTCCGGAGAACACGTGCTTGGAGTGGAGAGGGAGGGTGAGGCTGGAGGCAGCAGGTCCTGCTGGTGCAGGAACCTGTTTTCCATCTCGGAGAGGGGCGGCTCTCTCCAGGGAGTTACTCCTGTGGAGGACATGGAAAGGTTTGTCCCAGGCTGGGGCAGAGCTGGGAGAACAAGGGCTGGCCAGGATGTGCCATCTCCCCACAGGCTCCCTGCAGCACTGGACCTGCCTGCCTACAGACAGGCTTCAGCCCTCACTAGGCTGGGAGAGCCAGTGGCTTTATCCAGCCCACCAGGGGAGCCCCTCACCTGCCCCCCAGCCCACCAGGACTCGGTCTGTAGCCATCCAGGCTCATGTTTTCCATGGATTCTGTGTCGCTTTTGCCATCCCGAGGGTCTGAGGCATCTGGAAACAAGCTGCAGACAAACCAAACCACAGGTATGTCCTGTTTGGCAAGGAGGAGGGACTGAGAGGGAGCTGCTGTGCCAACACCGAGCCAAGCAGCATCGCTCCCATCCCTGCGGTGAATGCCTGGGGCTTGGAGCGGAGCAGACAGCGGGATCCTCACCTGGGCCCCTCCCGCGGTGCTGGGGGGCTCTGCTTCTGCACTGGGGAGGAGCTTTGGGGCTCCCCAAGCTGGGCTTTCTGGAGGAGGGTTTGTCCAACCGTCTCCCTTTTGCTGGCTGGAAGGAGAGAGGCATCAGGAGAACCAACGCACCAAGCCCATCGCCTGGAGCAGTAGGAGCTGCTCCCAGCCAAGCAGGGAAGGCTGGAGCACCCAGAGGGCCGGGATGCAGGAGGAGGCATGGCTGTGGCACCCCTACCTGCTGCCTTGTGCCGCAGGGACAGCCGCACCATGTCGCTGCCCAGGCGGTTGGCGAAGCGGTTGACCCTCTGGTCATAGAACCAGTCGCCTGTTGTCTTCTTCAGCTCGCTGCAGGGCAGGGGAGCAGTGAGGGTGGGCAGGGGGGCACCCCAACAGCACCCTCAGTGCTGCCAGCAGGCAAAGAGAGCATGATCACAGCGGGCACATTCAGCAGGTGAAGATGCACTGGGCAGATGATGGACCCAGCAAATATGGGAGCAAGATGGGGTTTATAGGACAAGAACAGCCAAGAGGAAGGACCTGGGGTGCTCTGAACACAGGATGACAAGGGGCACGGGGGATGCTGAAGTAAAGTAAGGGGGGAAACAGAACAGGAGGGCACAAAGACCCAAGAGTAGGTCCTAACCCAGCTCTCCATCACCCAACCGTGGATGCCCACCCTAGGAAGTGACAGCAGAGACATCTGCCCTGCGCTGAAGACCAGTGGGGGTAGGCAAGGACCATGGGGCATCAAACTGGGGTAAATGGGACCAGGAGGGGCACGCAGCGGTCCCAGCCCGGTACTCACGCCTCCTTGGAGCAGACTTTGCATCGCCAGGCGCTGTTGGGGCCGTAGGAGCGGCAGTCCCGACACACCAAGTGGTTGCAGCCCCGGCAAGTGTTGGCCTTGGGGCTGACCCGGCCCAGGCTCTGCTGGCAGCGGGCGCAGGTCCGCTCGCTGTAGCGCTGGCTGCCGCGCTTGGCCCCCTTCCGACGGATCTCCAGCAGCTCGTTCTTGAGGCGCCTGCTCGGACCCCAGCAGTGTCAGAGCCGCGACGGCTCCCATCGCCCCTCGGAGGGAGGCAACCAGCGCCCTGCCCGGCCCCAGCCCCACCTGATCCTCCTCTCCTCCGCTTTGCGGAGCTCCTCATCGCGCTGCAGGACCTGCAGGATCAAATCCTTCTCCACATCCGACAGGAAGGACAGATCCACGGCCTCCGACATCGCTGCGCCCGGGATCGCTCGCTCTCAACCAGCAGTGTCCGGACGCGTCCGTGCTGGGAGCAAGCCCTGCTCTCAGCACAGCCGCATCCCGGATCGCAGCCCTGGGTGCCCCGGTGCCCGCAGCCGGGGCAGGGCTGGCTCCCTCCTCCTCCTCCCCGCCCCGAGCGCCCGCACCCAGCTCCTCCCGGCCCTGCCCAGGGCACGGCGCTGCCGCGGGCCGCCCGCCAGCCCCGCTGACCTCAGCCGGCCCGGGGGGAAGCGCTGCCCCAGGCTGCTGCACCCACACACACACACACCCACAGACCCGGGGCGGCGGGGGCAGGATCCGGCCGCGCTCCGCACCGCAGCGCCCGCCCCGACGGAGCCGGTCCCGGGGCGCCCACCCGGGGGTCTCTGCACACCCGACGGCACCGGAGAGTCGAGGCACGGACGGCGGCTGGGAGCGGCTGCTACCGAGCCCGATGGAAGGGACCTTCCTGCCGAGCGCGGGGGCAACAGGAGCGAAGGGACGGGACCGGGAAACAACGACGACACCGACCCGGGCCGCCGGGGCGGGCACAGGCGGCAGCCCCGAGGCTGACCGGGACGGGACGGAAGGGAACACCCGCCCCCCCCACTCCGTTCCCCAGGTACCTGCCTCGGCTCCGGCCGGCGCCTCCCGGCAGCAGCGGGGAGGGAAGGGAGAAGGCGGTGCCGCCTCCTTAAAGGCACCGCACCCGCAGCACCTCCGGCACCGACGGCGCGGCCCGGGCGGGAGGCGGTGCCCGGCGTGTCCAACCCCGCGGTTGGGGCTCAGCAGCCGCCTCCCCTCGGGCACAGCTCCGGGTCCCCGGGGACGGCTCCCCCCGCTCGGTGCCTGGAGCAGGGCGCGCTGCCCCCGCTGCTCCCCTGCACGCAGCCCCGTGGGAAGCAGCTCCTCCCAGAGAGCACACACAGACAGGCCCGTAGGAAGGGCACAGGCACCCGAACTGCCCCTAGGGGTCCCTGCTGACAGCAGGATGTGATTGAGACCCAAGGGCCTCACTGCAAGGTTCCAGTCTCTGTCCTTGTCCTTCGTGGGCAATGTGGTTCCTATCAGGCTCCTTGTGCCCGCAGCAGCACAGGCAATAGGGAAACAGGACGAGGTGTGGGAAGGTGGCTTCTTGGCACGCAGGGTGTGGGAGTGAGCTGGGAGCAGCCCCAAAGCAGACGTGAGGGCTCTGCCCACACGCTGGCTGCATCCCAGGGATCCCTGCCCTAGGACAGAGGTTCCCAGCGCTGCAGGAGGAGATGGGGCATCTACATAGGGGAAGATGCACCGAGACACCAAAGAGCCTGGGGGAGATCCCTTGGGAATGGAGGCTTCTCTGCAACGCAGGTACAGACACAAGGCTCATGCAGAGGGCTTTGGGCTCACAGGTAGAGCTTGAGAGCAAAGACTCTTTTCCCCAAGCCCCTCCACACAGCACCCTAAGACTCAACCTCCTCAGGCCATAGCCCCACACTGGCACCAGTGTTCATGTTTTAAATGGACACCAACACAAGAGGTAAGAAACATCCTTATTTCTGCAGAAAGGTGAGAAGAAACCGAGATGAACAGACCTGGTTTCAGTACACTGAAAAAGCACGTTGGTAAATGGAGACACAATGCCTGTCCCTGACTTGCTGAAATGAAAAGCAGCAGGAATCCAGGGTTTATTCTACCCCGTGGCTCTCTCCTGCGTGAAAATGGAACTGGAAGTGCCACTATGAGTCCAAGGCAGTGATGGGCAGGACTGGAGTGCTCTCAGCTCCAACTTGCTCCATCCTCAGCCTGGATATGGCTCCTGGAGGGACATCCCATGTGAGTGCATCCTCTGGTGCCGCCGCAAGGCACTGCCGTTGGGAATGAGGGGATGCAAAGCACAGCCAAGCTATCAGCAGGCAGTGGTGGCATCTCCCACCACCCGTGCTCCAGCATCACCGTCCTGTGGGATCTGGGGTGACGGGGGAGCTGGCAGTGGGTTCTGTGGGCAGTGCTGGCCGGCACTGGAGGTCCAGCACGAGGTGATGCACATGGGGTGCATAGGACTTCACCGCCTCAATGTGCAGGATGCTGGTGCTCCACGCCTGCCCATGCAGCTCTGCCAGCAGCCCCCGGATCCGTGATGCTGTGGCTTCAGCCCATCTCTTCCATTCTGGTCTGATCCTGGCCCTCTGCTTCTCCTTGCCACCACTCTCCGCTGGGTGCTGTGCTTCTCCATCAGAGCTGGATCCCGCTGGGACAGACTCCACGTTGTGATGGATGTGGAGAACACCACCCGTGGCCTTCTTGAGGACGCGGCACGCCACCGGCCAGCCCTCCTCCGAGCTGGGAATGAGCCCCAGGTTCACCCTGTCCGCCACGTCCCGCAGCTCCAGCTGGAAGGAGAGACAAGGGGTGGTGAGGGGATGCAGTGCGGGGATGGGGTCCGTGGCTTGGGGCAGCGCTCACCTCCCGGCTGTCCCCGTGGTGCACACGACAGCGGTCCTGCACGCCGTTCAGCACCAGGTTCCTCCGCAGGGCCTCCACGGCGTGGCTGTTCCACTCGCAAGCATGGGCAAAGGCGGCTGCTGCGTGTACCAGGTAGGGCAGGGTGAAATAGCCGATGCCTGGGGGGGCAGGAGGTGGCAGCAGCTGAGGGAAGGGGCCAGGCACCTCCCCTGGGGCAGGGTGGGATGCGATTGACACCCTGGGTCTCTGAACCTGCTCTGCTCTGTGTTGGAACAAGCCCAGACACTGGGGAATGGAAATTCATCCCTCCCTCCTCCTCAGGAGCAAACTGTCCTATTTACAAAGGAGCTTATTTTACCTAAAACAGGGGAAGCTCAGGTTAGATATAAGGAAGGAGTTCTTTAATGTGAGGGTGCTGAGGCGCTGGCACAGGGTGCCCAGAGAAGCTGTGGCTGCCCCATCCCTGGCAGTGTTCAAGGCCAGGTTGGACACAGGGGCTTGGAGCAAGCTGCTCCAGTGGAAGGGGTCCCTGCCCATGGCAGGGGTTGGAGCTAGAATATCTTAAGGTCCTTTCCTTCATGAAAGTGTATCCATACAGGCTCAGGAGCCTTTCAGAAATGATATGAGGGCAAATGTTTCCCTTGGATCCACCTGATTCCCATGACCAGCACTAGGTACACAGCAGTGCAAGGTCATCTGAACTGTTCAAAGGCACCAGGGACACAGGAGGGACAGCAGTGCCAAGTTAACTGAGGGCTCACAGAGCAGACAGGAGCTCTAAGCCTGGGTGTTTTTCCAATCCAGGCTGGAAATGAAGTTCCACATCCACCTGGATGCCACAGGTCCCTGCACCACTGCTCTCTGCCCTGCCAAACCCCTCCATTACCTGCATAGAGATCCACCAGCACCTCCCCAGCGCAGGGCAGCGATGCCACCCGCAGCTTCTCCGTGATGTTGCCCGGGGAGAACATGCACTTGGTCACATCAAACGTGTACCTGGGAGACACCACGGACCCGGTGAGGGCAGCCCCTTCCCTGCAGGGGCCACATCCTGCACCGCAGCTCCTGCCCTACCTGATCCCATTGTCCACGTGCTCCACCCAGGGGTCCTGGCCCAGCAGCAGGGTGACACTGGGGGACCGCATCCCGCCTGGCAATACCCGTCCTCTCCTGGCCAGCCGCCGCGCCCCCAGCGCTGATGCCACCGTCTCCCAGAGCACCGGACCTGCAGCACATCCATCCCGGGAGCTCTGGGGAGAGCCCTGCGGGCAGGATGGGGCCGGCAGAGCCCGTCCCCCTTACCCAGCTGCTCCCAGGGCGCAGCGCTGAGGCTGTCCTCGCTCAGCAGCACCAGGTCCCCATGGCGCTGCCAGGCGCGGGGCACATCTCGCTCCAGCTCCTCCGACCAGCTCTCGCCCAGCAGCCGCCGCAGCTCATCCCGCAGCCTCTGGGCAGGCGTCCGCCGGCGGAGTGCCCTGGAGGGGATGGGATCCTGCGGGAGGGATGCACGTGGGGATGAGACCTTAGTGACAGGACAAGGGGTAATGGGTTAAAACTGCAACAGGGGAAGTTTAGATTGGATATAAGGAGGAAATTCTTTCCTGTGAGGGTGGTGAGGCACTGGAATGGGTTGCCCAGGGAGGCTGTGAATGCTCCATCCCTGGCAGTGTTCAAGGCCAGGTTGGACGAGGCCTTGGGTGAGATGGTTTAGAGCGAGGTGTCCCTGCCCATGGCAGGGGGTTGGAACCTGATGATCTTAAGGTCCTTTCCAACCCTAACTGTCCTATGATTCTATAGCAGGGCTCAGGGGCTGTCCCAACCTGGATGCGGACCAGCCCACAGGGCATCTCCTGCGGCAGGCTCAGCAGGGAGAGCTTCTCCTCCAGCACGGGCAGTGCCACATGGCCCCCCGGCACCTCCTGCAGCTGGTAGCGCTTGTCCAGGAGCTGCTCCGCTTCCAGATGCTCCCTGCAAGGCCAAGGCATGGTTAGGACCTCCCCAGACCCACAGCCCACCCCACTGCAGGGAAGAGACCCACGGGTGTGGGGCTGGCCCCCTTTGCCTGCACCCTGAGCAGACACAGGGCTCCCCATTGCCCCCTCCGGGCTCACCTGAGGCACTGGGCAAACCGGGGCTCCGTGGCCAGTGCAGGGATGGGGATGGGGGTATCCATGGTCTCCATCCTGCCAAGCCCCAGGGTGGAAGGATGTCATCAGAGGGCAGGGATGTGGCTGCCTATGAAAAGGGCACAGGCTGCAATGGAGAGCCAGGGTCCCTGTCACTGCCATGCGAGATCTGGCTGCCCTGGAGCGCAGCCGGTGCCAGGGGCAGTGGGGTACCCAGGGAGATGGGATCCTCTGGGGAGGGGATGGGGATTGGCTGCTGCATGGAATGGGGTGCCAGCTGGTGGGATACCTGTGGGGATGGCGTGTCCGGGATGTGAGGGAGGGCGTGCCCGAGGGATGGCGTGCTCCGGGGTGGGATTCCCGGAGGATAAGGGTTGACGTACCAATGGATGCGATACCGGCCGGTGGGATACCCGGAACGCTCTGCCTTAGGGCCGGTGCCCGATTGCTGTGGCCGTGCGGCTGCCCCGGGAGCCGGCACCTTGTGTCCGGGTGGGCTCCGCAAGCATCCAGCGCCCCTCGGCCCGGTGTCTCTGTATCCCGGTGTTCCGGTACCCCAGTATCCCCGTATCCCGCTCCCCGCTCCTGCCGTGTTTCCGGCCGGATCGCTTTCCCCGGTGCACCGCCGCCCCCATGTGAGCTGCGGCTGGAAGCGGAAGCGGAAGTGGGGGGACGGTTGTGGTGCCGGACCGGCGGCGGCCGCGGCGGGGGCCCTGCGGCGCCATGGCGGGGCTGTCGGTGCGGGACCCGGCCGTGGACCGCTCCCTGCGCTCCGTGTTCGGTCAGCGCCGGGGCCGGGGCCCGGGATAGGGGCAGGGATAGGGATGAGGGCGGGCGTTGGGGCGAGCGGGCCGGTTGGGCCCGGGGTCGCCCCCCTCGCTGACCGGTGCCCGCTGTCTGTGTCCGCAGTGGGGAACATCCCGTACGAAGCCACCGAGGAGCAGCTCAAGGACATCTTCTCGGAGGTCGGGCCTGTGGTCAGCTTCAGGTGAGGGTGGCGGCTCCCTCCGCGCTTCCTTTAGGTTCCTTTAGGGGAGGGTGGCAGCGGAGCAGGGCGGCCTTGAGGCTGTGGGGGGCCAGGCACTGAGGTCCCGCACCGGGGTTCCCTAGGGATGAAGGGGTTAACGGCCCTAGCACAACAGCCCATGGCAGTGGGGTGGGATTGAGTGGCTTTAAGGCCCTTTCCAACCCAAATTGTTTGGTGGTTCCATGGGGTCTCCAGGCTGGAGGCACTGGTGGCATGGATCTGAGGCAGGTAAAGCTTTAGGTCCTGCTGAGGCTCTGTGCAAAGGGATGGGATTGCTCCACAGGGATGTTTTCTTGGCTTGGCACCAGGCTTCAGAGAGCTCTCAGTGAAGGATTTGGGAGTTCCGGGAGCAGCCAGTCCGGTTCTGTGTCCTCAGAAGTTGCCTTTGGGGGGTTATGGGAAGCATGGGGCTTGTGCTGGTGGCTTTCCTGACACTGGGGCTTTGGGAACAGCCATCAGAAGGCTTTTGGCTCTCAGTTAGGGCTTAACCTGACTCCAGTGCCTTCACACCTGCATGGTGCACCCCAACATCCCTCGTCAAGCACTGGGGGGCGGTGGGCACTGCTCGGTGCCTGCACTGCCCTCAGCAGTGTGGTTCTCTCCTCCTCGCTCCGCAGGTTGGTGTATGACAGGGAGACAGGCAAACCCAAGGGCTATGGCTTCTGTGAGTACCAGGACCAGGAGACAGCGCTCAGCGCCATGCGGAACCTCAACGGGCGCGAGTTCAGCGGCAGGGCCCTGCGCGTCGACAACGCCGCCAGCGAGAAGAACAAGGAGGAGCTCAAGAGTGAGTGTGAGCTCTGTGCTGGAGAGGGCACTGCTGTGGTGCTGGGCCTGCCCTTCCCACCGTTACATATGGGCCTCTGCTGTGGAGCTGGCAGAGAGACTCATGGAAGCAGCCTCTGCTTCCATGAGACCTCACAGAGCTGGCCTGCTCCATGCGATGCACCAAGTAGTCTTGAAGAGGGATGCATGCCCTCGGCTGTTTTCTCTCCCAGATGATCCTGTTTTCATTGCTTCCCTTTCCTTATGATGGTGTGGGGCTTCCCTTCTGATGAGCCCATTACAGCCAGTTCATGTTGCCATAGGAGGTCACAAACTCTATTGCAGGCTTGGGCACAGGCGCACCCATCATAGAATCACCCTACGGGGACCCTGTCAATCCTGAAGATGCCCCTGAATCCATCAGCCGGGCGGTAGCCAGCCTGCCACCCGAGCAGATGTTTGAGCTCATGAAGCAGATGAAGGTGAGTGGAAGGCTGCACCCTGTGAGCACAGCTTCTGCCATGGATGCAGCCCTTGTGCCTTGCTCCAGCTCTGATCTCGTGTGTCTTCTCAGCTGTGTGTCCAGAACAGCCCCCAGGAAGCCAGGAACATGCTGCTGCAGAACCCCCAGCTGGCTTATGCCCTGCTGCAAGCCCAAGTGGTCATGAGGATTGTGGACCCGGAGATCGCACTGGTTTGTCCCTTGCTGCCTTGTCCAGGGTTGGTTGGATACTGGTGGCAGCCTACTGAGAGGGGAAGAAAACTCCTTTCTCCTTCTGCCCCTAGAAAATCCTGCATCGCCAGACCAGCGTTCCTCCTCTCATCTCAAGCAACCAGCAGGCAGTGCCAGGGCCAGGACCTGGACCAGGGCCTGGGCCAGGGCCAAACGCACAGCTGAACCAACAGAATACCCCCTCATCCCAGCCACAACCCATAGTAAGAGCCTACACGATGCATGAGCTGTGCAGGGCAGAGCTGGGCATTGCCAGCTCCAGCTCTCCCAGCTGGGGGGCAGGTGCCTGGGTACTGGGGCTTCCCTGAGGTCTGGTTTCTCTCTGGGCAGGGTGGGATGCACGTGAACGGCGCTCCCCCTCTCATGCAGCCACCCATGCAGGGAGGAGTGCCAGCCCCAGGACAGATGGCAGCCGCTGTGCAGGGCCCCGGGCCCTTGGCTCCAGGAGGTGAGTCCTGAATGGGTCCTGAAGACAGACCCCCCCATAGCTCCATAGGTGATTAAGGGAGTGGAGCATCTCCCTTATGAGGAAAGACTGAGGGAGCTGGGTCTCTATAGTTTGGAGGAGACTGAGGGGTGACCTTATTAGTGTATATAAATATATAAGGGGGGGAGTGTCACAAGGATGGAGCCAGGCTCTTTGCAGTGGCAAACAGTGAAAGGGGAAATGGGTACAAACTGGAGCACAAGAGGTTCCACTTAAACTTGAGAAGAAACTTCTCAGTGAGGGTGGCGGAACACTGGACCAGGCTGCCCAGGGAGGTTGTGGAGTCTCCTTCTCTGGAGACATTCAAAACCCGCCTGGACACGTTCCTGTGTAACCTTATCTAGGTGTTCCTGCTCCGGCAGGGGGATTGGACTAGATGATCTTTTGAGGTCCCTTCCAATCTCTAACATACTGTGATACTGTGATAGCCAGAGGCTTGGCTCTGTGAGAGCACACATAGTCCCATACCGTGTATTGTGGCTGTGGCTGCTGCCAGCAGCGGTCCAGAGAGTTGGCTTATCCCTGTGTTCAAGTAAACCTCCAGATCCTTGCAGGGAATGGGGAGGTATTTGGGGGCAGAGGAGCCTGATATTAGTGCAGGGATGGTTGAGGAGGGCTCTTATCTCTTCCTGTTCCCCCTCAGGTGGGATGCAGCCGCAGGTTGGGATGCCAGGCGGAGGACCTGTCCCATTGGAGCGTGGACAAGGTAAAACACACATGGGTCAGTGCTGTGTGCCATGTGAGCCTCCAGTGGGGCCCGGGGCATGGGTGCTGAGCAGAGCTGTACCAAGAGCCCCTGCCAGCTCCCTGCAGCCTTCCCATCCCTGTCCCTGGGTCTGTTCGCTTAGGCACAAGGCTGCAGCAGCAGCTCTCCTGCTCCACCCCACACACACACCCCACTTTGTTCTGTGCCATGTTGTGCTCTGGAAGCCAGGAGAGCTGCCAGCCCCTGCAGAGCCCACCGAGCGGGACATGCCTGTGTTTTCCACCTCTCTGTGAGCCCGTGTCTGTCCCTGTGCTTGTGCAGGCAGGCACAGCTTGCCCTTCTCTGGTCCCTGTCCTGCTCCTCCGCTGCCTGGGTGCTGGGAAGCAGCTTGAGCTGCAGCCGCGTCGCCGTGCCCGGCAGAGGGAGCTGGGCCCTCGCTTTTGCATGCAGAGAGAGGGCGAGGCTTGGCAGGGAACTTCCCAGGGGAATGATGCTTGCCTTTCCCTCCGCAGGCACGGTCTGTACGGCCCAGCCCCGCAGCCGGATTCCTTACGGTGCACCCGCCGGGTTCCCGTTCTCCCAGTAATGAGGCACGCAGGCACTTGACACCCCTGTTGCCTTGACTTGTATCATAGGCCTTGTTTGAGGAACCTGTTCTGAGCCCCTCTGGTCTTAGGGGCATTGGACTCTTTGTTTTCTTTGGGGTGGGCACCATCTTCCTGAGAGCAACCAGGTAGTTCTTGGCACCCAGAAGGTTTGGAGCAGGCAGAAAGCTGGCACTGGGGAGTGCTGTAGGGAGCTGTGAGGAGGGTAGGAGCTGGCTGTGCATCGTGGGGCACAGCGTGGCCCTGCAGCATGCCCGTTGTCCCAGCAGGATGTCCTCTTGCCTTGCATGTCACACAGTGAGTGAGGGAAGGGTTGTGCCAAGCAGTGCATCACGCCTGTAGTGGAAGAGGTTGATGGAGCCAGATGCGCAGCGTGAGCATCCCCATAGGTTTTCCTAGGGGACTCGAGGGAGCGGAGGTGACCCTGTGCTGTCCCAGAGCTGAGTGCATGTGTGCATACACTATTTACGTGTCTGCTCTTCTCCCTCTCTTCCTGCTGCTTGCCCAGGGAACCTGCAGCTCTCGCCCGTGGGACCTGCCAGGCCTGCGTCTATCGAACGCGTTCAAGGTATCCCAGTACCCGCCTGCTCTCTCCTGCCATGGAGCTCGTGTGGAGTGTGCAGAGAGCAGCGCTGCCTCTGCTCTGCTTGGGCTGCCAGGTCCCTCTGTGTGCCCTGCTTGAGAGGAGGAGGCAGGGCGTCCTCTGGGGCTGGAGGAGAGAACAGGCTAGGGCTAGGCACTAGGAGAAACCTTTGCTTAGGATGCAGCCCCCTTTGACACCTCACTACCAGGTCTTGCTTTGCTCCTGGCCCCACATCAGCAGGGTTTTGATGCCTGTGCTTGTAGGGCTGGCCATGGGGGCACCCACACTTGGTTTGGCCACCTGGAGCTATAAGAACCCTGAGGCAGAGCCAGAGAAGGATAAAACCAGCAGGCGGAGAAGGGGTTTTGGTGCGCTGTGGCCCTGTGTGAGGGGCTGCCCCGTCGGCAGTCAGCACAGCTCACCCACCCGCACCAGGGGAGCAGTGTGGGGCTGCCCCACACCCCGAGAGCGCTGGGGGACAGTGTCAGCACCGCACTGGTCATGCAGATCCTCACGAGCTCTTGTGTGTCTCCCTGGCAGTGCCCATGCCAGACCCGAGGGCCCCTATGCAGCGTGGACCTCTACCTGCTAGTGGCCCGCCGCCCCGAGGCCTTTTGGGAGATGCCCCGAATGACCCTCGCGGAGGGACCCTGCTCTCAGTCACTGGAGAAGTGGAGCCCAGGTGAGGGGAGAGGGAAGGAGAGGAGCTCTTGGCACCATCCCCTGCCCAAGGGTGACCTCTCGCTGAGGACAGGGATGGCACCGTGTGTGGTGCTGCCCATGGGGGCTGGCCCAGTTCCCCGGGGACGGGGCATCCCCGGGGTGGTGGCAGCAGCCCTATGGCATGGGGCCCACAGCACCCGTCCCTGTGCCAGCCTCACCCTCCTCCCCTGCACCCGGCTTCGGGGGCACATCCCAGCGCTCTGCCCAGACCGTGCCAAGCCAGCCAAGTCTGATTCACAACTCTCTCGCTTTTTCTCCTCCTCCTGCTTTGCTCTCCTCGTCTCTCTGCGTCAGAGGTTACCTTGGGCCGCCCCACCAAGGAGCCCCTATGCACCATATGCCTGGGCATGACAGCCGGGGCCCCCCCCATGAGATGAGGGGGGGACCCATGGGAGAACCCCGACCACTGATGGGAGAGCCGCGGGGGCCCTTGATGGATGCTCGAGGTGAGAGAGGGGGCATGAAATAATGGGTGGCTTTAAAGAGCACAGGCAAGGAGTCAGAATGGAGCCCACTGCCCCAGCAGGAGACACAGGACGGGGTTTGGGCAGTGGAACAGCTGACTCCAGGGCAAGGAGGGACAGTCCCGTGGGGGAAAAGTCTTCTTCCAGCCATGTCCTCCCTGCCCCAAGGCCTGCACCTTCTGACCCCCAGACACAGGAGGTAGGGGGCTCGCTCCATGCTCCCTGCATCGCTGCTCTCTCCAACATCTTGCCTTGTCTTTCCTCTGCAGTCGGGAGAGATCCCCGAGGGCTGGAGCCACGAGGATTGGAGCCACGAGGGCTGGAGCCCCGGGTGATGGAGGCGCGAGCCCTGGAAGCGCGAGCCCTGGAGGCGCGAGGGCTGGAGCCAAGAGTGCTGGAAGCCAGGGCTATGGAGGCCAGGGTCCTGGAGCAACGGGGCTTGGAGCCTCGAGGGCCTGGTCCCAACCCGCGTGGCCCCATGCCTGGTGGGATACAGGGTCCTGGGCCGCTTAGCATGGGAGCCAGTGGCCCGCAGGGGCCCCGCCAGGTACACACAGCACCTCTGCTCGGTTGGATGCTGGTGGTGTCTTGTAGATTGGGGCTGGGTGGGGATTGATCACATCCTGCAGCAGCAACACCTCTGGGAATGCAAGCCTTTGGTTGGAGCATCAACCCCTCTCCACAGGCATCTGTTGGGGACAGGACAGGGCTTGGGCCTCTCCACCTCCTTCTGATGTGCAGGAGTTGGAGGGGCAGGAGGGATCATAAAACCCATGTCTCTTCATGCTCCGGTGTCTTCAGGCTGGCCGTGAGGGCATCCATCTGATATCTGCTTTATGTTCCTGTATTCACATGGCTGAGTCCAGAGACCCCCTTGGTCCTTACCTTATCTCTTGTGCCCACAGGTTCCTAACATGGCCGGGGCAGGCATGCAGGGAGGAGGCATTCCTGGAGCAGGAGTCCAAGGAGCTGGTCAGCCCGGCGGCTTTAGCCCTGGCCAGAGCCAGGTCACCCCCCAGGATCACGAGAAGGTGAGAGGACAAAAGCGAAAGGGTGAGGCATTGGGAGCAGCACTTCCTATGTGCCTCACAGTGGTGGGAGCAGCCGTTCCTGGCTCTGGTAACCCTGTCTCTGACTCCCCCCTGTCCCCACAGGCAGCTCTGATCATGCAGGTTCTGCAGCTGACAGCAGACCAGATCGCCATGCTGCCCCCGGAGCAGCGCCAGAGCATCCTCATTCTGAAGGAGCAAATCCAGAAGTCCACAGGAGCCCCATGACAAGGTGATGGCCTTAACCCAGCCTGTGCCTGCTCCCCTTCAGTGAACCAGAGCTCAGAACGGGGCTCTGCTGTTCCTCTCCATGCTGGGCTCACTCTTACCCTTCCTTCCTGCAGCACTCACTGGCTGGTGTGTGGTGAAGGTGATGCTCCATGGCAGCTGCTTCCCATTGCTGCCTGAGCTGATGCTGCATTCGGGAGAGGTTTCTCCTCCCCCCATCACATTTTCCTTTCCCATTCATCTTTTTGTTTTCCTGTGTGTATATTTTATGATGTTTGAAATAAAGTGGGAGGAGGGTTTGAGTAAAGTCATGTCTCTGGTTGCCTTGTTTGGTCTCTCATGAAGGCCGAACGGGACTGTTGGGTTCTGGGAGCATCCAGGCTAATGCAAACCACTCGCCTACCTCCCTTCTCCCAGCAGCAGAGCAAGGATGGATTTCTGATGTGCCATGCTGTTGTTCACAGCTCTCCACAGGGGGTAAGCAAAGGGCAGGATGGGGAGCTCGGCTTTCTATCCCGTAAGTGATACAGCAATCGGATACCAGCCCAGCCTGCACAGGGAGGGTGGTTTCCCCTCTTCCCTGCATATGCTGGAGCAGGATTTGTTGCCTTTGCTGCGTTTGGATCATGGAATGGTTTGTGCTGGAAGGGGCCTCAAAGCTCCTCCAGCTCCAACCCCTGCCACGGGCAGGGACCCCTTCCACTGGAGCAGCTTGCTCCAAGCCCCTGTGTCCAACCTGGCCTTGAGCACTGCCAGGGATGGGGCAGCCACAGCTTCTCTGGGCACCCTGTGCCAGCGCCTCAGCACCCTCACAGGGAAGAGCTTCTGCCTAAGAGCTCAGCTCAGTCTCCCCTCGGGCAGGTTCAAGCCATTCCCCTTGCCCTGTCCCTACATCCCTTGTCCCAAGCCCCTCTCCAGGTTTCCTGCAGCCCCTTTAGGCACTGGAGCTGCTCTAAGGTCTCCCCTTCAGGAGCCTTCTCTTCTCCAGGCTGCCCCAGCCCAGCTCTCTCAGCCTGGCTCCAGAGCAGAGCTGCTCCAGCCCTCGCAGCATCTCCATGGCCTCCTCTGCACTCACTCCAACAGCTCCACGTCCTTCTTGTGCTGTTGCCCCAGAGCTGGATCAGGGCTGCAGAGGGGGTCTCCCCAGAGCACAGCAGAGGGGGGACATTACCTACAAGGAGCCTTCTAGTGCAAAGGAAATCAAGTTTAATGTACCCTTTCATGCAGAGGACTGCTTAAACCTGGAGGGACACGCTTATCCCCAGTGCCTGCTCAGCATGGTCATGTCCCATCCCTGTCCCACAGTTCTGCCCAGCCTGCTGGGTGCTCCTGCTGCTTCCCACTGCTCCAGCAGCATCATCTCAGCACGTGCCTCTGGTTTATCAATGGGGGTCCATGCAGAGCAGTCTTTGACCCTCGGGTTTCTCATGGAGAGGGAGTCTTGCCTTGTCTCGCCTGGCTTCAGTGCACGTACCCTTCAGGAGATGCTTACCCCCGGCATGGGGGATGAGGTGAGCTGCGTGGTCCCCTGCCCGCAGGGCTCCCATTCTGCCTGCTTCTTAGAAGTTCTCCTTGTTGAAGTAGAATTTGACCTTCCTGGGATCCAGGCTGGAGTGCTGGTGGCAAGACTTCTGCAGGCTCTTCGCCAGGGCCCCTGGCCCGCAGAGGAACACACCGACCACCGACCTGCACGCAGCATGGGGGCATCAGCACCAGGTAAGGGGCTCGGGGAGGATGGGTGCCCCCAGCACCCTGACCCCCCTGCCCTGCTCTCACCTGGGGTGTGCTGCAGCCACTGACGTGAACTCACTGTTCCACATGGGCCGCCCAAAGATGGTTTTGTGCCTCAGCCCCGTCACCGTGTCCACAGCAGTGTCGAAGCGCAGCGCCGCGTTGTTGGCCTGGGCAGAGCAGGGGCAGTGAGGACCCTGCCACCACCCCTGAGCCCATCAACGGTCCCTCGCCATGGAAGAGCATCCAATGCTGATGCCCACCAAACGCCACTGCCTGTAAGCCATTGCCGTGGTTGTCCAGGGCCACCCCATGTGCCCCCCTTGCCCATGGTCAACTCACAATGCTGGTGTCCCAGCCAGTGAGGAAGAGGCGGTAGGTGAGGAAGTCAGCCTTGCCCGACTCAGCCATCTTCTGCTCCAGCGAGGCAAGCAGGTCATTGAACCAGGCAAAGGCGCCCTTGTCCCGGCAGAGCCAGTAGAAGTAGATCTGGGGTGCAGAGAGGGATTGCTTGCAGTAGAGCAGAGCAGGAGGGGTGGAAGGATGACATGTCAAACCCACGCTGCTCCCATGGGACATCCATACCTTCTTGGTCTTGAGAGTCTGGTCACCCTGCTGGAACTTGTACCAGATGGACTTGAGGATGGAGGCAAAAGGGGTGACACCGATGCCTGCTCCCACCAGCATGGCCACCTCGTACTGGAACACATCTTCACTGGCTGTGCCGAAGGGACCATCCACCTCGATCCTGGCCAGGGAATGAGCTGGATAAGAGGCCGGGCCTCCCCACATCAGCCCATTTGAGTGGTCCCCAGCCTACCTGGGCATGTCCAGCTTCTGCTGCTGGAAGGTGTCGATGAGGCGCTCGGTCCAGTCTCCAGCTGCCCGGATGTGGATGGAGAAGAAGTCCTCCTCGGGCGCAGAGGTGAGGGTGAAGGGATGCCACTCCAGCAGGGAGATGGAGGGGCAGTTGACGAAGATGTACTGCCCCACTTCCATGCGGAACCCCTTCTTCTGCATCTGCAGCTCCAGCACGCGGGCAGGGTGCATCACCACCTGTGGGGAGGGATGGGGCTCAGCACCCAGAATGGCTCCTGTCCATCTCCCCATGGCCATCATCAACACGTGCTCCTGCTCCACACACCTTGGTGACAACCACCTTCTGCTGCGCACGCCAGACCCGCAGGATCCGCTCGAAGATGTAGAGGAGGACGGGGGCCAGGACCCACTTCCAGGACTGTGGGATGGAGCAGAGCAAAGGGCTGGAGCATCCCAAGGGAAAGGCAAGAGTTTCTCCCCCTGCCTCCATCCTAGCACTGCCCTACCTCGGCAGGGATGCTCCCGAACTCAGGGTCCTTGCAGCAGTCATGGTTGCAGTGCTTGTCCTTGTGTGTGAGGTACTGGGCGCAGTGGTGTGGATGCACCTCCTTGATGCTCTCCTCTGTCTGTCCACGCACCAGCCCGCTGTGGGGAGATGAGGGTTGAGCCCAGCTCATGCTCAGGGTTTAGCCTCAATGCACGAAGCCAGCTGGGAATGGGGAGCCCTGGGAATGGGGACCCCAACTCCCTGCTGCCCAGAGCCTTACGCGATGCCATGGATGACGAGCCCAGCAAAGTAGATGATGAAGAGGTGATGCGTGTACCAGAAGACCTCAAAGTAGTTCCTGCGGATGAACTCGGTGGAGGACGTGACCATGAGGATGAGTGCTAGTGTGATGATGACCCCCGTCAGCCCCGGGATGGTGGTGAAGGCCACGTACTCGACGGTCTATAGGAACAGCAGGATGGGTTAAGGATGCAGGGGCAGGTGGTGATGGGGAGCTGGATGCCGGGACCACACTCACCGTCTGGTTGGAGTGGATGGGGTTCAGCCACTTGTTGCTGCCCTGCAGGTGCATCTTGGAGAGGACAGCGGGCAGGCTGTTGTCCATGGCCTGCTGGCTGCCGTTGTAGCGCTCCAGGTTGAAGAGATGGGCAATGGTGTGCACGGCTGGCAGGGGACAGGCAGTCACCGCATGGTCGCCTCCCGGTCCCCACCATACCCCAGCCTGTGCGGGGCAGTACCTGTGAGCAGGGCCAGGGTGTACGCCACCAGCTTGTGGAAGGTGAGGTTGTGGTCCAGCTGCTTCCGCAGTGTCCGCCGGCAGCACTGCGGGACAGGCAGGGGCGTTGGGATGGGGATGGGGATGGAGATGGGGATGAGGGATGGGGATAGGGATGGGGATGAGGATGGGGATAGGGATGGGGATGGGGATAGGAATGGGGATAGGGATAGGGATGGGGATGAGGATGAGGATGGGGATGGGGATAGGGATAGGGATGGGGATGAGGATGGGGATAGGGATGGGGATGGGGATAGGAATGGGGATGGGGATGAGGATGGGGATGGGGATAGGGATGAGGATAGGGATGAGGATGTGGATAGGGATGGGGATGAGGATGGGAATGGGGATAGGGATGGGGATGGCCACACTGTCCGTGCCACCATGGAGCACTCACCGAGCAGGTCCCACGGAGGAAGGAGAGGAGGTTGCGGCACACGGGCAGCAGGATCAGCATGCTGTTGAAGTTGAGGCACTTGGCTGATGCTCGAGCCCATGCCAAGGCGGACTGGGGAAAGAAGGAGGAGGGATGAGCGCTGCTGTTCCATGCCACAGGTTGGGTACGTCTGCCTGCAGCCGTGCTGCTCAGCATGGGGCTTGGGTGGGATGGGGTTGAGCGATGCTGCCATGGGGAATGGAAGGTGGAGTGATGCTGGGGTGGGGACTGGGAAGAGGGGTGATGCTGAGCCAGGAAAGGGCAGTTTTGTCCCCAGAGGGTGGTCAGGCATTGGAACAGGCTTCCCAAAGGAAGTGGGTGGAACCAGCAACCCTAGAAGTGTTCAAATCCATGTAGATGAGGCCCTGAGTGCCATGGGTTAGTAGTGGCCTTGGCAGTGCTGGGGAATGGTTGGTCTCAATGATCTTAAAGATCTTATCCAACCTATTTGATCCTATGAAAGGACTGGGAGTGGGTGATGCTGGGCTGAGACATGACAGGGACCAGCATGGGCTGTGGACTGGGATGGAGCAGGCTGGGAGAGGCCAGGACAAGGAAGAGGCATGGGTGCTGCAGGGGAGAACCTTACCCCGAGGATGGCCCTGGTGTAGAAATACCGCTCGTCCCGGTCGAAGAACAGGAAGTAGTAAGTGAAGAGGAAGATGTTGATGCCCAGCCAGGCTGCCTGCGGGGACAAGCCGCAACCTCATGGGGGACCCCCCTTTCCCCCTAGCATGAGGGTGCACCAGGACAATGCAGCGCCTCCTGCTCCATGGGAGCTGCGGCAGCGCATGGGGCCGGGACATGGGGATGAAGGTGGGGAGGGTGAGTGGAGCAAAAGGACCATTGGGTCACCACAGCCCCATGCATCACCATGATAAGGAAGGAGGAAAAGCGGGTGCAGATCCCAGTGGTGGTTGGGGCTGCGTGGGGAAGACACTGGGAGGAGGAAGTTGCAGCCCCATGGCACTGCCAGCCCCTGCCCAACCCTGCTGCACCCCATAACACAGAGAGCTCCCAAAGCCCCGATGTCTTGTGTGGTTTGCTTTGAGGAGTTTAAAGAAATGAAGGTGACCGGATGAGAGCTGGGCTGGGGCAGCCTGGAGAAGAGAAGGCTCCTGAAGGGGAGACCTTAGAGCAGCTCCAGTGCCTAAAGGGGCTGCAGGAAACCTGGAGAGGGGCTTGGGACAAGGGATGTAGGGACAGGGCAAGGGGAATGGCTTGAACCTGCCCGAGGGGAGACTGAGCTGAGCTCTTAGGCAGAAGCTCTTCCCTGTGAGGGTGCTGAGGCGCTGGCACAGGGTGCCCAGAGAAGCTGTGGCTGCCCCATCCCTGGCAGTGCTCAAGGCCAGGTTGGACACAGGGGCTTGGAGCAAGCTGCTCCAGTGGAAGGGGTCCCTGCCCGTGCAGGGGTTGGAGCTGGGGGAGCTTTGAGGTCCCTTCCAGCACATTCCATGATTTTAAGCTGCACATCCCCATTTCCCATGCACTTGCAGCTCCTCCCAAGCAGCGCCACCCAGACAAGCCCCATAACACCAGTGATGCCACGGCACGGCACCAGTCATCCACAGGGTCCACCATCACCTGGTGCAGGCCCTCACAGGAGCTTTCTGCTTTCCCATGGGGAGAAGAGATTCCCAACCAAAGCAGCCAGGCAAAGTGGTGGCATTTTGAAGCTTTACCTCAGCATCCCCTTTTCCTTTAAGTCACATTTACCTTGAGCTTTAGGAACCCCATCCCTCCCTGGCCACCGGTGCTTTGCAGGTTGGCTGAGCAGAGGGGATGCTTGTCTCTCCCTGCCCATCAGCCCCCTTTTCCCACTGTGATCCTCCCCATAGCCCCATGCATTGCCCCAGCCCCACACACTCACGAGGACTGCGGCAGAGAACCAGTGGTTGACCAGCCAGTTGCCCATGGTGCACTGTCAGTACCGGGGCTGCCTGCCCGGGGCTTTATGGAGGCAGCGGCAGCCCCGGCCATGGGAGCAGCTCCTCAGGGACTTTCCCCTCCGGAGCCTTTGAGGAAATGCGGGCTGGTTTCAAAGGCTGCCTTCCAGGAAGGCAGGGCTGACCCCATCAGACAGCCCTGACATCAGCCCCCTGCGCTGGATGGGTACGGTCACCATGGAGGGGTTCCCTATGGCACCATGGCTGGGTGCTGCAGGCCATCAGGGTGCTCCTTGGGTGTGTTTGTGCTATCTGGGGACAAAATGTGCTTGGAGGAAGGGAATTTCCAGGTGGGAGGAAGGTGCAGAGGGTTCGGCTCTGTGGTGTTGCTCCCGGCCTTCCTCACCAGCCCTCACTGCCCCTGCTCTACAGGAAACCATTGGAGGAGGAGGAGAAGCATCCCAGCACTGTGCTGATGCCAGGATCCAACCCAGGGTGGGTAAGTTAAGACTAAGCACTGGTGGTGCTGCACCTCCATGAGCACCCTCAGCTTGGCACCGGCATCCTCCCCCCCGAGCTGACCCCACAAAGGATGCTGGGGATTTGGGGGTCACACTCCTGATTTGGCACCGGGATGCCTGGGTCCAACCAGCATCCCTGCTGCTGTGTCAGCCACCCTTCCCCTCCTGCCTGCCCCCCATGGCAGCGCCCTGAGCCCTGCGGTGCTGGGTGCTCTGCTGGGAACAGCAGCCAGGGCCTGGAGGAACAGGTTGGACAGGATTGCTCCTGGCCCGCGGCCATGGCCACGCTGACGGAGGTGCAGGATGAGGCAGGCCCCTGTCCCGAAGTGCTCCTGCCTCTCTTCCCAGCTCCTCTGCGGGGCTCCCCCTTCACCCCAGTGCCCACTGGCACAGCCCCTGCTTGGTACCCGTGAGCACAACCAATGGGTGCGCACCCATGCCAGCCCCGGCGCCACGGTGATGGTCCCACCCTCACATGAATCAGCGCCAGCACCCGGACACGCAGCCACAGCAGAGGTTCTTTACTGCTTAAAACAGTCCCACTGTCCTCGTGTCCCCAGGGTACCGCAGCGGGCAGCTTGGGCTGTCAGGGCACCCATAGGGCTGTGCACTGCACAGCGGCTGCTTGCAGCGGCGCTTTGGGCATCCCAAAGTCCTTTATGTCCATGTGTGTGCAGGCAAACACGTTCCTGTCCCCATGGCGCTGTGGGATGCGCAGGGACCAAGGGCCAGCAGTGCTTGGTTTGTGCCGCACATCCTTGCGTCCATAGCCAGGTGCTGGCTGTCCTCAGACGATGCTGTGCCTCACACCAGGCTCGTACGGTGCTTCGAGGTGCAGAGGGGTCCCCGGCGGGTGCCGGCGGCAGCAAACACAGTGCAAGAAGTCAGCCACGTTGTGCTGGAAGAGCTGTCGGCAGGGATGCAGGTACTGGAAGAAGAGGAGCATGAAGTAGATGCCCAGGCAGTAGCCGAGGAGCAGCTGCACCACCAGCAGCGGGGTGCAGACGTTCTCATAGACATCCGTCTTGAAGAAGTACCAGAGGACGACGAGGGCCGTGTTCTCCATCAGCCGTGCCACGTAGTACACAGCCAGGCGGCCCCAGTCCTGAGACTTGTCAATGAGGTCCCTATCCGCCAGCTTGAGCTGCACGGCCGACCAGCAGAACATGTTGATGCTGGCGTAGAGGAGGGTGAAGGCGCAAAGCACCACCACGGTGCCCACGCGGCTGAAGTTCTTCTCGATGTTGTCGGGCAGGCGGGTGCCGCTGCGCCAGAACTGCACCCAAGGCGTGAAGAAGACGATGAGCAGGTTGGCCAGGGCGATGGGGATGATCCAGTGCTTGAAGACGGTGCTGAAGAGCACGAGGACGGCCACGCGCGTGGAGATCTCCAGGCTGCGCCACAGCACGATGCAGAGGAAGGCCAGCGGCCGCAGCTGGACCTTGTAGTCATCGTACTTGACCTGGATGGACAGGACGTTGCAGACGAGGGCTCCGTAGGTGACTGACACGAGGCAGATGCCCATGAGGACCGCTGCAAAGGGAGAGGGCAGAGGAGTCAGGCAGCGCTGGGGACTGTAGCCCACCATGCACCCCAAGAGCATCTCAAGAGGCAGCCTCATCCAGGGGCAAGATAGAATCATAGAACCACAGAATGGTTTGGGTTGGAAAGGACCTTAAGATCATCCAGTTCCAACCCCCTGCCATGGGCAGGGATGCCTTACACTAAACCATGGCACACAAGGCTCTGTCCAACCTGGCCTTGAACACTGCCAGGGATGGAGCATTCACAACCTCCCTGGGCAACCCATTCCAGTGCCTCACCATCCTCACAGTAAAGAACTTCTTCCTTAGATCTAACCTGAATTTCCCCTGTTTTAAGTTTGAACTCATCCCCCCTAGTCCTATCACTCAGGATGAAGATCACCCATAGGGAACACTGGCACCTGCTCCCATCCACTGCACCCAGGAAAACTGCAATGGAACAAATGGGAAGTATCTGGTCCCAGCTGTGCCATGCCAATGGTGATGGCTGTGAGATGCAGGACTGAGCTCAGGCATCAGATCTGCAAGGGAATGACCTGGAATGTGGCAATGTTCAAGGTGAGGTTGGAGGAGGCCTTGGGTGATATGGTTTAGTGTGAGGTGTCCCTGCCCATGGCAAGGGGGTTGGAACTTGATGATCTCAAGGTCCTTTCTAACCCTAACTATTCTATGATTCTATGATGTGACAACCTGGATTCACCTCCTGCATCTGCTGCTGGAGGGCCACTGGTGCTCACCCTCCCTCTGATGTTCCCCCTCCCTAAAACCCCCTTTCAGGGGGATATGGCCAAGGAGGGGGTTTCTCTGGGGCATCCCCCATGTTCCCTCTTCCATGGGCACAGCTCTGGGCTCCCAGCATGGCCACAGAGTGGGTTGGTGAGGGCAGCTCCGTCCCCAGGCGCTGCAGTGCAGTGGTGCAAGAGCTCCTGCGCGTCCGGCTCGGCAGCATGCCGAAGTGGGAGTTAAGAGCTTGCTCTGGCACATCCAGCCCCGAGCACATCAACATCCTGGGAGCAGGCAAAGGAGCCTGGCAATGGAAGCACAGGACTGGGAGCTGCGGCTGTTGGGAGAGGCGCAGACATAGATCCAATGGAGGGGCTGTGAGGAAGCCAGAGCATTCTATTCTATTTCCATCTATTTCTACTTGATCTATTTCTGTCATTGGAAATAGATCCAATGGAGGGGTTCTGAGGAAGCCAGAGCATGTAGCTAGCTGGAAAACAACAGCAACTGATGCAGACTGGAGCAACATGGAGCAGGGACATGGCATTTTCATGGGACAGGACACTGGGTGCATGGATGGCTTTGTAGGGCAGATATCTGTGAGCGGTGGGGCTGGGAGCAGCATGTCCAGCTCTTCCCACTTTCCCAAGGATCACATCCATCCAGAGAGCACAGAGTGGGAAAAGCAAACCAGGGATGGGCGAGTGCAGGTTGTGCTCCACGTTATCCAGTGGCCACCATTCCCCCAGAGCTTTGTGGGGTGCCAACCATCACCCATGGCTATGGAGCCTCTCCCTGGGGGTACCCCATGCAGCGGGCACGCTTACCTCGGGCAGCAGGGACGTACTTCTCCAGGATGCTGATGTAGAGCTGGACGCTGAGCTGCGGCGTGGAGCCCAGGAAGGCCTGGATGACCGCCATGCGCTTGAAGGCGTTGCGGTGCGTGGCCAGGCGCCGCTCCGAGTGACCCATCTCCTGCTCCATCTCCACCTCGTAGCCCTTCCGCAGCCGCCGCTTGCGGGTGATGGTGACGTAGGGCTCCTCCTGCCTCCCCGACCAGCAGTACACCACCAGCGCCTCCATGCACCTGCAGGGATGTGCCAGTGTCACCCACAGCCTCACCGTGACCCCCCCCTCCCAGTGCATCCCCCTTCACCCAGTGCTGGATGGACCCTGACCCTGCTGAGTGCAACCCAAATGATGTGAGTGAGCGTTCAGTAGTGCTGGCCCTTGGATGTCAGGATGAGGACAGGGTCACACCAGCACCATGAGGATCCCTGCTCCAGCACTCAGGGTGAAGCATGTAGGGCAGGGGGACAGCAACCACCTCAATGAGGGATGCAACAACCGATGCAAGAGGTGCAGCATCCAGGGTACAAAACCATAGCTCTTCTCAGAATTAGAGCTACAGGAAGTGGTTCGTCACCCTTGGGCTCCGTTTCCCCCATTGGCACAAAGAGCATGTCTTCCTCTAAGCAGAGGCCAGAGAAGCTTCTGATATCGCTTTTGATCTCTCCTCTTGTAGAAGGCTTCGATGCTTGCTTCCTCCTTGGTGGGGCCGGCAGGAAGGGGAGCGCAGGGGGAAGCTGTGTGTGCCATGGGGAGATAAGAGAGCGCTTCTGCAGCCCTTTCCCCTCAGGACACCCTCACGTGTGCGCAGGGGATGCTGTGAGGAAGGATCCCCCCTCCCCTCCACACACAGCCATGCAGTGGGGTGCATGGGCTGGAGGCGATCAGCAGAGGAGGACCCATCCAAGAGGCTTGGCTCCCACCCAGGGATGAGCTGGCTCTGGGGCCAATGGGATGTAATTATCTGCGAGTGCTCATTAGGGCAGCAGGAGTTGCTCTGTTTCAGACCCAAATGGAATGAGGTTTCTGGATACATTCTCTTTCCAGATGAGGCCAATGCGCATGGCTCACTGCAACCTCTAACGGGAAAATGGCTCCATCCATGAAGTCTGGCTCCATGGGCAGTCCCAGCAGTCCCAGTGCCCTGCCAGACCTTCTCAGCTCCATCTCCAGCCCAGCAAGAAGCATTCCCTGAGCATCCCTGGCTGGCTCTTGCAAGCAGCCAAGCACTCTCATCATCATCTGATGCATCACCATGGGTCAGCATGGGCTGATGTGTCCCCACAGCCCATCAAATGGCTGATGGCACCGAGGTGAGGCTCCCCGGCCCCCTCTGAAGATGAAACATCACAAGGATGTCTCCAGCACCTTGCTTGCTCCTGGTGCCACAGA